AGCAACTCCTGCTCAGTGGTTTCTTTGAGAGCTGGTCTTCTTGACCAAGTCATTAGATCATAGAGTAATCGGGGTTCTGACACTTGCACAGAGGGATTCTTAGGACGTCTTCCCAGGTGAAGATGCTACAGAGCCTCCTTCCCGCTTCCAAGAGAGGTGTGAGGATGTGGAATGGAAGTGCCTGGGAGAGAGCGGGGCATGCATGGACAGTCTGTAACAGCTTGGGCTAACTGCGATGAAGGTGAGGCTGCAAAGGCCTGTCAACCCCAGTCACTTCCTTTGTGCCTTAATGCTCTTGGAGGAGGTTGGTGACTCCTTCACCCATGGCAGCCAGGGAAGGAAATGGAGCCTACAGGGCTACAGGGAAGGCTTCCTGAAAGAGCTGGCATTTGATGCGAGTCTTATGGGAGGAATTTGAATGTAACAGACCAGTTGGGAAAGGGAAGACATTCTGACATCTGGAACATTGTGAGCAAAGGCTGGTGAATCTGAAATGTTGGGGCAATGCCAGATTATGGAGAGCTTTAAATACTAAGTCAAGTAATTTGAATTAAAGAAACAATGAGGAGGGGTGCAATAAAGATATTTGAAGAGGGGAATAACATGACCAAATCTATATCCAAGAAAGGATGACAAGGCAGAAATATAAAGGGCAAATTGGAGGGGAAAGAGAGTGGAAAGACCTTCACTAGTGCAATAGTTCTGGCCGACGCTCGTGAGGGTCTGTGTTTGAGTGGTTGCCATGGGAATAGAGAGGCGAGGGTAGATTAGAAAGGTATTATGGAGATGGAATTAACAGGACTAGGCGAAGAATTGGATATGAGAGGTGAGAGAGGAGAGACTCAAAGATAATCCAAAGGTTGTGAACCTGAGAGGAACATGGTTCCTTAGGACGTGCTTCCTAAGAAGCAACAGAGTTATAAAGAGGAGTAAGTTTAGAGAGAGAACTGGAATGCATTTCCTCCTTATCGCTGCCTCTTCCTTCAAAGGTCAGTTCAAACATCACCTCCTTCATAAGGATTTCCCTGATCCTCCTCCCCCCAGCTGCTGGCAACTCCCTCCCGTCCCCCAGAAGAAATTAGCTGGCACTTCTTTCGTATGTAACGAGTACTTTCCCCTCTCCACTGTCCTGTCCCCCCCCCCACCACCACCACCACAGCATGCATAGAAATTCTTTGCCTGGTTCTGGTCTACTACACAGAAGCTTAGGGGAGGGAATTTACTTCTGGCCATGTGCAGGGGCTTGCATTGTGTGATGATGAAGAGCCCCCTAATTGGAAGCTGAGCTGAAATAGCTGATGACTATAAGGATATACAAAAGCAAACTAATGGATTCTTAAGAATTTCTCTTCCTTTCTGGCTGTGAAGCATGACAACTCCTTCAAGCTGCACTCAGATAGGTGGGGGAAGGGGAGGCTGCCCGGTCTCCCACCCAGCCTGTATGTGGCTTTACACATGCAGCTGCCTCTGTCTCTGTTTATTCCTTCCTGCCTTAGGTTAGCATCTCGAAATGGAAGTATCCAGGCAACCTAGTGAGTTTTGAAAGGTCTGGAGGTATGCTGCTTTGGCAGTGGTGACAGCAGTACAGTGCTCACCAGAGCATCAGTGGATAACATTAGGGGGTGCTTTTGTGTTGGAGGGTTCAGCCATCTCCAGGGGAGGGGCTAAGCCTGGCCCATTTTACCAACAGAGATGATCAGACCGGGCCAAGGTGAAATGTGAAATGGCTGACAAGTAGCCTTTCAGACTGTTTAATATATTGACAAGGCTTAACCATCAGCCTCCCAGAAGACTGTAACCAGAGTTATAAGTTATTGAATTCTGTTCTAATCATTCTGTTAATTCATGCGAGTATTCTCCTAGGCTTAGCATTCCTTTTTTGTGAATAGAAATAAACAACCTGCTCCACATCTGATTCATAGTTATAAAATTGGGTACCTCATTTCCTTTCCCCTTTCGGGAGACCTAGGCACAAACCATAAATCAAACTATAATTAACGATGTCCCTGGGATGACAGGGTGATAGTTTGTTAATGAGCCAACGAGTGTGGTCATAGGGAGCCTAATTTCCTTAAATCAGGGGTTCTTAACTCAAGGTCCATGAACTTGTTTTAAAAATATATTTTGATAATTGTATTTTGGTATAATTGGTTTCCTTGGTAATCCTATTATTTTAGTCTATGCACTTAAAACTATTATTCTGAGAAGGGGCCCATAGGTTTCACCAGACTGCCAAAGGGATCCAGGATACCAAAAAAAAGACTAAATCTGTTTCTTCTAATTAGAGGTCAGGTTTCCCCAGCACTGAAACAGGTTCAGGACCACCAACAAGTCTGGGTATAGGACAGGAGAGGTTAGGTACTCCAGACTTACATGCGAAGTAGTGGTTCCTCAATGCTAGATGCATTACATTTTGTATTTGAGGTGTATGGGGTGCTCAGGAGGACTAGTGCCTCTGATGTGAGGGCTGCTGAGCCCTTTTTTAGGGCTATTTATCTACCTTTGATGTCTACCTGGCACCCAACTCTCTTTGTGGCTACAAGAAGCTGCAGCATGTACAGTGGCCACACCCCAGTAAATCATCTTGGCAGATGGGCTAAACCAGTTTGAAGGTAATTGATGGGCCATAAACCCATCAGTGATTTGGGGGTGGGATGTCTACTCCAAGGATCTGAAGACTTCCCCTGGTAGAATGGGTGGATGAGAAAAATTCGTTCCAATTTCCCTGAAGGTGGCTGAAGCAGGTGCTAAAGCAGAGCTCAGGTCAGCCATCGAAGACACCAAGGTCACCTGCTGCATCCCAGGCCATCGTGTCATCCTGACCTTTGTCTTCCCATTGGACTTTGATGGCTCTGGAGGAGAGAGGGAGGCTGATGACTTTTCACAACTCTGCCTCATTTCAATCCCATTCACTCATGAGTCAAGACTTCACCCCATGATGCCTTTGGTCCTCTTTGAAAACAAAGGACAAACAACAACAACATTGTGTATATACTAATACGTATACATGTTGTTACCTCCTTAGACTGTAAGTCCTTGAAGGCAAGGGACAGCTTTGTGTCCTTGTATTTTCACTTCCTAGCATGCAGTGAATACTTAAATGCTTGTTGGTTGATTAAGAAGTGTGGTGACAGCGCGGAGGTATTCTGCCCGTGGGTCACCCCCTCCTTGTATGGTGATTGTGTATGTGAGCTGTTCCCCGTGTTGATGTCGGTCTGGATCATGTCTCCAGTGACTGCCAAGCCCAGACACGATGTATACCGATACAGGGAACAAGCAGGGATGATGCTGTAAGACCAGACCCCAGCCAGCGCTGCTTCTCTGATTCTTATCCACTGAAAATGCAGCCACTTCTTTCCAGCAGCATCACAGTTGGGGAGTGGGGCACAGTTTCTGCCGTTCCGTTGCTCCTTTGATCTTTTCGGCAGCCTGATTGTTCCTTTCCCCTCCAAGTCCAACCTCTCAGGAAGAGCCAGCAGGACAGAAGGTGACTAGGCGACTTTTACTTGAATATCAGTGGGATTCTCTCCCAGAGACATCAACCTGACATGGTTTAAGAATGGGAATGAATACACAATGTCCACTGGACTATAAAGGTAAAGAACAAAAAAAGGAAATGCAGCACAGCGTTGTGTAATTACAATGAGCAAGCTTGGGCAGTAAGCCCAGAGAAGGCTTGAGGAAATATATCTCCCTCCCTTCTTTGCAGACATGGGGGAATCATAGAATATTGTGCATACTATCTGGAACTGCTGATACATTGACCAATTTTTGTCAATCTATTCTTCTCTTTGGCTAAGTAGGGCAATGGATACAGCACTAGACTTGGAATTAGGAAGACATGAGTTCAAATCCAGTCTCAAATACTAGCTGTGTGAACCTGGGGAAGTCACTGAGCTTCTTTGTTTTCTAACCTGTATAATGGGGATAATAATGGCACCTACCACCCAGGGATGTTGTGAGGATGCAAATGAGATGATGTTTGTAAACTGTTTTATAAACTTTAAAGTATTTCACAAATGCTAGCTATAATAATAATAATAACAATCTTTATTACAAGGAATCAACCAGTGCTTAGGAATAGAAGGAAAATATACACATTATGTATGTATGTATATATGTACATATGTACACACACATATACATACATATATAAACATAAATATGTATGTGGAAATGAAGATAATATAAAAGTAAAATACAACAAATAAAAATAAGATCAGAGACAGTCTGATTCTGAAGTGGGTTTTGAATTGTAAACATATTCAGGAAAAATTAGAGATCTAGATTTCTCTCTCTAGGTTGGCCAACTATTAGTGTCCTGCCACCTATGGCAAGATGATGAGCAACACCACCTGCTGGAGAGCGACAGAATTGCAGAAACCATTGAAAGACATCGGAGGCAAAGCTAGCGGCTAACCCCTTAGGAGGGAATGGAATGCCAACCAAGCCTGTAAGGAGTTGGGGGAGAAAAGAGGATGCACTATGAAAGAGTGCTGGTTTGGGAGTTAGAGGACCATTGTTCAAATCCTGACTCTGCCATTTACTACCTGTTTGACTTTGGGCAACTAATCTCTCTAGGCATCAGTATCCTCATCTGTAAAATGGGCATGATCTCTGAGGTTCCTTGCAGCTCTAAGTCATGATCCTGGGGTGACCACCAATTGAGTTGCTAAGGGCAGCTACAGAAGGTGGTGTTAAGAGAGAGACAGAGAAGGACAAATCTGCCTGCCCCCTTTGCTGGAGCCCAAACCAGAGCAGTGCTCTAAGGCATGAAGACTGTACAGATAGGTCTGTTGGAGGAAGGCAGTCTCACTGAAGAAGGGGATGGGGAAGGACTTCTTGGCTCTCCAACACCTCAGATATGAGTTCTTCCTTCTGCATTTATTAATTTATAAATAAAACTTTAAAAAAAGAAAGAAAAAAGAAAAGAAAGCCTGGGAACGAGCTCCCCAGACCAGCTGCCAGATTAGCATTCTCTCTTATAAGACAGTATCTCATGGGATGGCACCAGTGATACATTTTTACTGGGAGGACTTCCCCTCAAGACCATTTCTGAGGTAAGGCAGAACATATAACATCCTCTACCACTGCTCCCACCCTGGCCAATGGGGGACAGTTATCCCTGTACCCTCAAGGAAAAGAGGAACCAAGTCTGGATTTCAGCCTTCTCTCTGAACACTGAAGGCTCTTGATTCAAACAGGAAAGTAAGATCAGTGTTAAGTCCACTCTAGGTTCCCCACCATTATGCTTACCCCAACTTCTGAGTCCCTGCTGCCCCTTCCCGTCAGGGACCTGCCAGAAAGCTGCCACCCTGCTTTATAGGGAGACAAGAGGTTCTGCACTGGACACATAAAGGCCAAGGCTGTGTTCTTGTTTTGGTTTGGGGTTTTTGCAGTTGACAGAAATATATGACAAGGGCAGGGCGGTGGGCCAGGAAGATGGAAGACAATGACCTTGTAATCTTCTCCTAACTTTTGTGCTTGTTCAGATTCATTTGCATGCCAATCCGAAAAGGAGTTGGGGAAGGGGTGGGAAGTGGGCGTTTTAGCCTCACACTGCACTCAGCTCCTCTGGGGTATCTTTGGCAGAGCCTCCTAAAATGGATTTTGGGTCCCAGGATCCCCACAAGGGACTTGAGTAGTTATAAGGAATTTCTAACCCTAGGATGCAGGCTCACCAAAAGTGTTGGTCATTGTCACAGGAGAGATCTGGCAGAGTCCAAATTGAAGAGGTTTTCTAAATTGACAGTAAAGTCCACCAGATTTTCCTATTTATGGATGATGTGCTGATTACATCATTGCAGAGCCTCCTAAATATGATCCATCATCACATGGCCCAACCATTCATACAGGAAAAAACCAAGTGGCCGAGGAATATCTATAGTACAGATTAAGATATGCAGTTGGATAGATGGCTTACAAACTTATCCCTCTCTTTCTCTGGATAAATATAGATACATGGGGAAGACATTGCAAATGATCATAGGATCATAAATTTAAAGCTGGAAGAGACTTCAAAGGCCATTGAGTCTTGCCCTTTCCCTTTAGAGATGAGGCAACTGAGGAAGAGAGAGATTAGGAGACTTGTCATGAGTCATGCAGCTAGTAAGTGTCTAAGGCAGGTTTCGAGTCTTCTCAACTCTAAGTCCAGTGTCCCATCCTTTATGTCACAATGTCATAGGATCAGTTGGACCCAGGGCTGCACTTTAGAGAAAGCCTTTGGAAAAGTACAGAGTGCTTTTAATAATCCCAAGCTTCTTCCTGAAACAGAGGCCCATTTTAAAAATACCATTATTCTCCTGGTGCTGAATCAAGGCATAAGGATGTCCAAAGGGCTGAAGTTATGGCTCACCCAAAGGGCAATGGAGAGGTCTACGATGAGCCTGGACAGGCTGAAACACATGAAAAGAGAAGCGACGTAAATACAATGACATGTAGATTTTAAAAGGGATCATACTGGGGCAGCTAGATGGTGCAGTGTATAGAGCACCGGCCCTGACATTTGAAACTTACTAGCTGTGTGACCCTGGGCAAGTCACTTCATCCCACTGCCTAACAAAAAAAAATTAAAAAAAAATAAAAGGGATCATACTGAAGGGTAAGAGCAAAGGATAACAGCAAGATAGCCTGTGTGCTCCAGGGGCATCCTTAGGATATCAGAAGAACTGAAGGAATCTCCTTGGGCGTTGGGCAGACTAGTAACAAATATATGGGAGGATGTGGTTAATAACTCATAGAGGGTAGGCAGGAATGGATGGATTGAGGTCTGCATGGCTGGTAGTAATACTCACATTGATGATACCACAGATCTTTTAGAGTGTTTGATCCAACTTAACAAGCATCTATTCTCTGTACTCAGCATGGCAGATCAAAGACAAATATGAAAACAGTCTCTGCCTTCCAAAAGTTTATGGTATGCTGGGAGATAGTATCTATATGCAAAATATAGGGAGCAGGGACTGGACATGTGATTTCATTGGTACAGGAAAATCTCAGGTAAGGAAAGCTTCTTTGCTGCTTAATAGTCCTAGGGACTTGCCTAGACTACTGAGAGGTTAGGTGACACCCAGGGTCATGCAGCCATTATGTGGCAGAAGTAGGTATTGAACCCAAGTCTTCCTGATTCTAAATCTCTAAATATTATACCATGCATGGCTAAGACTTGGTAATTGAGGGGATGTCCATCAGTTGGGAGATAGGGAATGTGGTATATGACTATAATGGAATACTATTGTGCTATAAGAAATGACAATAATTTCAGAAAAACCTGGAAAGACTTACACGAACTGATGCAAAGTGAAGTGAGCCAAACCAGGAGAACCACACACATGATAACAGCAATATTGTACAATGATCAACTGTGAATGACTTAGCTCTTCTCAGCAATACAATGATCCAAGATAATCCCAAAGAACTTATGATTAAAAAACGCTATCTGTCTCCAGAGAAAGAACTGAAGGTGTCTGAACACAGGCTGAAGCATACTATTTTTCACTTTCCTTCCTTCCTTCCTTCCTTCCTTCCTTCCTTCCTTCCTTCCTTCCTTCCTTCCTTCCTTCCTTCCTCCTCCTCCCTCCCTCCCTCCCTTCCCTTCCTTTCTTTCTCTTTCTTTCTTTCTTTCTTTCTTTCTTTCTTTCTTTCTTTCTTTCTTCCTTTCTTTCTTCTTTCCTTCCTTCCTTTCTTCCTTCCTTCCTTTCTTCCTTCCTTCCTTCCTTCCTTTCTTTCTTTCTTTCTTTCTTTCTTTCTTTCTTTCTTTCTTTCTTTCTTTCTTTCTTTCTTTCTTTCTTCTCTTCCTTCCTTCCTTCCTTCCTTCCTTCCTTCCTTCCTTTCTTTCTTCTTTCTTCTTTCTTTCTTCTTTTTCTTTCTTCTTCTTTCTTTTTTCTTCTTTCTTCCTTCCTTTTCTTTCTTTCTTTCTTTCTCTTTCTTCTTTCTTTCTTTCTTTCTCTCTTCTTTCTCTTCTTTCTTTCTTTCTTTCTTGTCTTCTTGCACAAAATGGCTAATATGGAAATGTTTTATGTGATTGCACATTGTAGCCTAAATCAAATTGCTTACCATTTGAGGCAGAGGGGAAGGACAGAATTTGGAACTTAAAACTTAAGAAAAATTAATGTTAAAAATTGTTTTTACATGTAATGGGGGATAAATAAAATTTTATTTTAAAATATTACATCATGCTACAGTATCGCACATGCATAGATACAGAGAAGATACCATATAATTTTAAGGTATAGAGCTTGGTGATATTAATAACTGGGGATACAGAAAAAAGCCTTTTGTTGGAGGTAGCATCTAAGGTGTGTTGTCAAGGGTTCAAGGAAGCAGATGAGAGTGCTTTTGAGGGGTGCAGGACAGCTTCAGCAAAGACATGGAGAAGGAAATGGAATGCCATGTCTGGGGAGCAGCAAGTAGTCCAGTTTGCTTAGAATCTAGCATGCATGAGGAGAGAATAATGGGAGATCAGTCAGAAAGATAGGTTTGAGCCAGATTGTGGAGGGTTTTAAATGCCAAGCAAATGAGTTTCTATTTTATCCTAGAGTCAAGAGGGAGCAAATGAAGCTCCTTGTGCAAAGGATCAACATGGTCAGACAGCTTTATGAATATTAATTTGGCAGCTCTGTGGGGGATGGAATGGACAAGGGAGAGACTAGAGGCCAGTAGATCAATGAAGAGGCAAGTGCAACAGTCTAGGTAAGAGGGAATAAGGACCTGAACAAGGATAGTTGTGGGGGGAGCAGAAAGAAGGGGGCAGATGCTATGGAAATAGAATTGACCAGACTGGACTGGAATTGAAGCTTACTTGAGTAAGGGAAAGTGAAGAGTCACAGATGACCACAGGTTTGTCCAGTGGCAGGACCAGTGGGGCCATCAGTAGAGAAGGAAATTGCGGGAAGGGTTGGCTTTGGAGAGGAAGCTAATGAGTTCTGTTTGGAACATGCTGAGTTTGAGATATTTATGGTATATTCAGGTAGAGATGTCTAGAAGTCAGTTGGTGAGGCAGGATTGCAGAGAAGGAGACAGATGAGGTGTGGATGTATGAAGATGGAAGTCATCTTCATAGAGATGATAATTAAATCCATGGAAGCTGATAGGATAACCTAGAGAGAGAGGGAAAAAAAGGGAGGATGGTCCAGGAGAGAACCTTGTGGTACACCCATGCAAAGGAGGTGAAACATAGAAAATGGTTCAGCAAAGGATATTGAGAAAGATAAGTCAGGCAGAGAAAAACTAGGGCAGCTATAGATCATGAAAGAGAGACTGAGAGAATGGTCAATTGTGCTAAAAGGTGAAAAGTTCAAGAAAGTTGAGGACTGGGGCAAGAGATACTGATGAATTAGTAGTTAAGAGAGCATCAGTAAGCTTGGAGAGAGAGAGAGAGCAGTGTCAGCTGAATGAGAAGATCTGAAAGAACATTGGAAGGCATTAAGAGGTGGATGGGAATGGAGGAAATGGAGGTAGGACTTTTTCTGGGAGTTCTGGGAGGGAAAAGGAGAAATGATAGGTTGACCCCTTGATACAATGGCAGCATCTGTTGTAGATATGTGTGTGTGTGTGTGTGTGTGTGTGTGAGAGAGAGAGACAGAGACAGAGAGAAAGACACACAGAGAGAGAGAGAGAGAGAGAGAGAGAGAGAGAGAGAGAGAGAGAATATAAAAATATCCTTCTTTGGATACAGAGAGAGTGAAGATTATAAAAAGGGAGGAGGTGACTGAAGGGCAAGTTCATGGAGGAAAGAGGCCTAGATAGGACCAAGGGCCCAGGTACAGGGATTGGCCTTAGTAAGAAGAAAGATCCCCTATTCATTTGAACCCAGAGCAAAAGAAGGAAAAAAGTAGAGGAAGACATCGAAAAGTTTAAGGTACAGAAGTGGGGGGAACAAGGAGCTCCTGATGGCCTCAGTTTTCTTGGAGAAGTATAAGGTAAGGTCATCTGCTGAGATGAGGGGTTACAGGAGTGATAGAAGGCTTAAAAAGAGAAAGTTTAGAACAGTCACTGTGGGGAATGCAATAAAGAATCGTTCAAGGAAGAGTGGAAGGCTTCGGTGTGCTGCATTGAGGGCCAAATTGAGATGAGCCACCATAAATTTGTAGCAGACCCAGTCAATACTGTTCCGTGACTTCATCTAGGAAGTGTTTATCAACTTGTGAACAGCAGTAGAGGAGGATGGTGGGAATAATATGAACAGAGTCCAGAAAGATAGGCTGAAACCTGATGGTGGAAGACCTTATCTGCCAGATGAAAGAGTTTGTATTTTACTCAAGGGAAACACTGCAGGTGTTTGAATGTAATGTCAGTTCTGTGTCTCAGGAAGATGATTTTGATGACAATATAGGGAATGGATCAGAGAGGGAAGAAACCAGTGGGAGAGAAGCCAATTATGTGACTATTAAAATAATCCAGGTAAGGGGCGGCTAGGTGGTGCAGTGGATAGAGACCAGCCCTAGAATCAGGAGGACCTGAGTTCAAATTTGACCTCAGGTACTTACTAGTTGTGTGATCTTGAGCAAGTCACTAAACCCCAATTGCCTCCAAATAATCATAATCATAATCATAATCATAATCCAGGTAAGATGTGACGGGGGCCTGAACTAGGGTTGGGGCAATATGATTGAAGAGAAGGGGATACAAAGAAAGGAAAAAATAGTCCCTGCATCTTTTGGGCTCACATTCCAATGGGGAAGAAAACATGCAAACGACTATGTACAAACAAGATCTGTATCAGATAAGTGGAAGATAATCTCGGGGGAAGATCCTAGAGTTAAAGGAAATTGGAACAAGCCTGGAAAGCCAGGAGGCAGAGGTGAATAGGAAGAGAAGAGCTCCAGACACTGGGGGGACACGTTTGAATTCTCCCAAATCACAGGACCCACAACATCCCAGGATCCCAGAATTTTGAGTCAGAATAGACCATCTAGTCCAACCTACAGTGACAAGAATCTCAGCTTATAACCGAAAAGGGGCCATCCAGCCTCTGCTTGAGGGCTACATGTGTACCTTCCAAGGCAGCCCATTCCCCTATTAATTACTGCTCTAACTGGTGGAAAATCTGGCCTCTTTGCAACCTTTACTCATTGTTCCTGATTCTGTCTTGGGGTGCCTAATGGAACAAACCTAATCCCTCTTAACGCTTGAAAGCCCCTTACCTACCTGGACACAGCTATTAGAGCCACTGTGAATCTTCTCCTCATTAGACAAAACATTACCATTTCTTTCAACTGATCCTCACGTGACATCAACTCAAGGCCTTTCATCATCCAGGTTGCCCTCCTGCAGACACTTATCACTACCCTCCTTCAACTGTGATGCCAAGGACAATACTCCAGATGTTGTCTTACTGGGGCAGAGTAGAGAGGACCATGGGCTCCTTACTACTGATTGCCTCTCTAGCACCTTC